AAACCAAACCAAACCAAACCAAACCAACGCACACGTAGCAGAGAAGATAGATGAACAACACCGGACGCTAGACACGGAGAAACACAGGGCTTAAAAACTTAGAAACAAACGAGACACACCTGGAATAAATCACATCATAAACATAGGAAACACCTGGGACAAATGAATATAATCAGACATGGGAGAAACTGGATCATGGGGAGGAAAAACAGAAGACACGGGAACACAGGACTGACAAGTATGTGGAGATACGTTTTTAATTAAACTATTCATGGGATATTCCACCGAATGGGTAACATTTGCTTTTGTAACTTTTAAAAATGAAACTTAATTTTGTATCTTTTTTCAACACTGTATCTAACAACACACATATTTCACTGTTCGAAATGTACATTGGTCAATCTCAGGCACCTTTTAAATTTTTTTTTTACAAGGTTTTAAAGTAGGGGATGGATGCATTTTTCTCAGTCCTGTTACCAAAAATCAAGTGTCTTTTAAGAAGACCTTTTGTCTTCCACTCACAATAGTGTTTATCTTAAAGAAATGGTTGGTAAAATGTTTTAATAATTTATATTTGTCACTAAAAATTCACTAAACAAGCACACAAGGTGTAATAAAAAAAAAAAATGCAAAGCCATTTTTTATTTTACAGGAGACCCAAACTACAAGATTATAATTAAGTCATGTAATTAAGTAAACTATTGGATAAATTATGAACATAACAGATGAAAAAAGCAGTCGTTTAACCTAATTTTTTTAGAACAAAACAATTTAATAACAGAAATGAACTGTGCGTAACAGGAATGAACACCTAGTAACAGGAATGAATATCCAGACACTCTGTGTGCGTTTGTGTGTGTGTGAATGTGTGTACATAGCCTGTGTGTGAGAGAAAGATTTCTGAAGGAATGTGTTATGTCCATGTAGTTCATCACAATCAAGATGGAAAGAGGGAGAAACAGAGAACACAGAGATTGAGAATGTGGTATTCACACAATGTCCTCAAACAAGTACCAATGGATGTCTTCATGGGCTGGCCAGAAAAACCTGTTGAATCCAATCTTTTGCATGCAACGGACCTCAACATGTATTTCACTTGTATCTGTGATGGCACCAGGGTATAGATCACCATCATACTTCAGCACACACCATTTGCCAACAACTTCAAGGCTTTTGCCACTGAACTTCTGTCATTGTGGGAGCCATGGGAGCTGTCTGCTGAATGTGGAACTTGCACAAGCAGCTGACATCCCTATATATCAGTTCTCCATGGGCTAGGGACACTACCTGATGGATCCTCATAATGGATGGAACTGGTGGCACATCATTGGGCATCTCTGAAACTGCTTTCTCAATTGATTCCTCCCTAACAAAAAACAACTTGATTGTTGTGTCTGTTTCTTGGGTCTGCATCACGTCGTTCACGATAAAGTTGCTGCTTCTCTGTGGTGGATTAGCACTCTGCAAGTATGGTAAATACATGGTACATATGATACATTTACAATATAAGTAATGGTAACTGTAAAACATAAAAAGGGAGAGTTCAGATGTTGTGTTGTTGTGCACAAGCAGCTGACATCCCTATATATCAGTTCTCCATGGGCTAGGGACACTACCTGATGGATCCTCATAATGTATGAACTGGTGGCACATCATTGGGCATCTCTGAAACTGCTTTCTCAATTGATTCCTCCCTAACAAAAAACAACTTGATTGTTGTGTCTGTTTCTTGGGTCTGCATCACGTCGTTCACGATAAAGTTGCTGCTTCTCTGTGGTGGATTAGCACTCTGCAAGTATGGTAAATACATGGTACATATGATACATGTACAATACAAGTAATGGTAACTGTGAAACATCAAAAAGAACAAGTCAATCATATTACATAAACTAATATTCACACTATTATATCAATGGACCAGAGAATGCAACTCACTCCTGTTACTATTACTCTGTCCTGTTATGGCTTATATGAGTAACAGGACTGAAGGTAACAGGACTGAGTTTTTAGCATAGAATTAGTAAATACATGCTAAATAGCCACGTCACACATGCTAATAGCATGAGGATACTGAGCAAATTCTAGTGTTTTATCAAAAATGTGTATTTTTAAAATGAACAAATGACATCTAAAAAATAATTTAGGAAACAGGGCAGTATGTTCAGATTGACCCTCTCAGACACAGTTGAAATATCATCAAATATATTGAAAAGAAAATTAGAGGATTTACCTTTGGTCTCCCCATTGCCTTCAGAAGATCTGGATAATGCAACTTCCTGTTGAAAAAATATCTTTTGGAATGTTCCAAGTTGATCAGAGGTGGGAATGTGTTAGCGTAACAAGACTGAGTGTTAACCCAGGGGACACGACTAAAATGTGTATTTTATCAAAAATGTTATGGAATTTTTTTTCTTTGAAAAAAAGGAAATCATTTATTGGATATAAAGTCACACATAAATGCAAAAAAAAAAAAATAAAATTCTGAAGGATTTTAATCATAATATTTCATGGTAAATTATAGAGGCAGGGAGTGGGGACATGCAACAACTACTATTTCTTTAGTGTTCTAGGTAGTTTTTATTAATGATTTTAATTATACATTCTAAATTCTGCAGTTAGCTAAATGTGAAGACACTTTGCTTAATAATAAAATGTATTTTAGAGTTCATTTTCATGCATTTTTATACTTTTAATGTCCTGGGGACAGAAATGTTACCCATTCGGTGGAATGTCCCTCATATTAATCAAGGATTTATTGACTTTTAATGCACCTTATTTCGAAATGTACAGAAATACGTGCTTTCATATGTCCTTTAGTTATGATTATTTCATTTATTCACTATACTATTTAATACTAATGTCTCATTTCAGTGTTAGTTTGGCTCTAGTTTTGTATTTATTCTTTTAGCTTGGCTCTAGTTTTGTATTTATTCCAGTTTATATGAAAAGGTTCATGTTGCGTGGATTAAAATTCATATACAGAGAAAATCCATTTCACTGAACACGTTAAAAATAAGTTTGAAAAAGTTGTCAGAAGCATGGTGGTGGTGACATTGAAGGCGAGCGACCGTGGTGCTGTAGTTCGTTTATACCCTAAGTTTAGCTTTTAAGTTCTGGCACTTTTATTTAGGCTTCAAAATTCATAAAAGTTATATTATTTTGTGAAGATTATCTAAATGGACAAAACGTGTAAATTTCAAGAACTATGATTGAACACGAGCTTATTTTTTGCGATAATCCAAAAGCCTATGGAAAAATCCTGTTGGCTTTTTGTCGAGGGAACCAGTGTGACGCTAACAGCCGATCGGCCTACAAAATGACATCATAGTTCCCCCACTCTATTGGATCTAAAAAGAGCCATTTTCTGAGGGTTATTACATAAATGTTTTTTTTATTGATGATGAGGACATTTTAAGTTATGAATCTTGTTGGATGTATTAAGCATACAAAGACTTCTTTTGTACCAAAAGATCAAGGAAAATTTGGTTTCAAATGTCATGACCCCTTTAAAAACAAATGCACAAGTTCCCCCTTAACTTATGCTAACATCATATGCAAAAATTCATAACAGAAATATTAAATAAGAATTAAACATATCTTCTAATTTTAATTATTATAAGGTCTAAAATAGCTTTTCAGATTTCTTATCTGTTAGATGGACTTTTGTTCATACCTTGATATCCATGAGAACACACATCTTCTTTGGTCCCATAAATCTGCCAGTGACTCCAAAGACCTGTTCCCTTATACAGCATCATATTTGGCTCATTTCGATTTCCATAATTAAGGTGCAGTGGTTGTCCCTTTATGCCAAACAAGGTCTCATTCTTACATTCCCAAGTTTGTAGAGGACTGAGTTCTTTGCAGGGCAGAAGGAGAATTTTGACCCAATCTTTGATGTTCTGGGCCCCCAAGCAGAGTTTAAAAGAGAGGCTGATAATTCGTGAAGAAGAAATCCATCGAAAACGCTGAGCCTCAGAAGATACATCGCATGGTGCTGTCTGTACTACAGAAGCACTCACAGCATTCACACATTTGTTGTGATCCTCGTTGTAGATAAGGAAGGAGCTGGTGTCTGGATGTATAGAAAATTATATCAGATGCTGTAAAAGGCAACACATTCCATAAACCTATTTGGTGCTACATAACTTTATCTAAACAATCAAAAAAACAACAGGAACACTTGACACTT